TGAATAAAAAAAACCAAATTTAACCCTTTTTAAATTAGCGTATCTTCTTCCCATAGGTCTAATCTACACACCATCATTCATTTATATATAAGATATATTGACAAAAAATAATAATACAAATCAACAAACATGCCTGATTAACCAATAGCAACCAATATAATATAATACACCATAGAGTAAATAAAGACAACGGTATCGAGTTCAAATCCCAGACATCAATAAATAGTTATTGCAGTTTTTCTAATTATTCAGTTGACTTTTTAAAAATTTTCCTTCGTAAAAACCTTCACCTATTAATTACGAACATCTTAAAAAAAAATTGAGACAAATCGGATTGATTGAAAAAGTTCATAGATAACATAAAACGATAATGTTTCAAAATAAAATGAATAATGTGCCAACTATTATATTTGTTTACTATAAAGTTATAAGTGTCTATAATAAAAAATGTATATCAACCAGAATATAAAAATATATTTTTTTTTCGATTTTTATTATTATTTATATTATATTTATATTTATATTTTTATCTGCTAGAGGGCGCCACCGGTGTAACTCAGTTTTTGTCTCTAAATCTCTAACTAACATGAGTTAGGTCCATAATTTATGCTATAAACCCGCTCACCGACATTCTCTATCATTTAAAAAAAATTTGAGCAAAATCGGCCAAGCCGTTCTCAACTGATGCTATTTCTAATTTTTTGTCTCCATTTTTATATATAAAGATTAATATTTGCACGAACAAGTCTCCACCATAAAAATGTTATAAATTAATTAATACAGCTATCGTTATTTCCCACTGACGATCGAAGGTGTATAATTACTATACATCACACCTATCTTGTATACCCTGTGTTACATATACTAACAAAAATGGTGTAAGTTGTATAATAAAGCCTAAAGCTATAAATCACTTTGATGTAATGTAAAATCTTTAACAAAGAAGTTCGTCTAACAGTATAATATGTTATATCATTATATGTAATATGTGTGTTTATGGTATATTAGTATTATTGTATTGTTCATAGAGTTCTTCATTAGAAAAAATAAAATCTTAACTAGAACTCGTAGGTACTTATACTTGTAAAATGTTTCCTTATGAAGTATAATAATATTTTGTTCTCAAATAACAATCGTATTATGTGCGATTCGTTCAGATATCATACACAACAATACATAAAAAAAAAAAATAAAGATTTAAGGAAAAAGAAAAATAACTTCAGTAGATGAAAAAACCCATTTTTCAAACAGCAGCAGCTTATTGAAACAGCACCGTATGACCCTTATTGAATAGTTTAAGGTTTACGGTCGTTTAAACTCGTTCACGTTTCATCGAGTTTTTTATTAACTTCCATATGAATATTAAAAGACGACATGTTGGTGTAAAATGATATTATTATTACTTATAAGGAAATAATAATTTCATAATATCAATATGTATAGGTATAATACATTAATACTGATAGTGCATACAATATTTATACATGGTAAACCTACCTATACATTTAAGTTGAAAACGTATTTATTTTGAAGTTTAATTTAGTTTGTATTGTTTTTAGCTAAAAAAGTATTACACTTATAGAATATAGATGTGGAATAAAATTTAGTTGAATGCAATCGACAATCTATCGATTGATAAATATAATAGATCTATATTTTGATTATTATGATAACGATATATTGAGACTATCCATAAGTTGGTAATAAATCATCGATTTTTTATTGATGAAGCTTTCAACACGTTTTAACTTTTACTATTTAGTATTTAAATTTAATTTTGGAATGAGTAAATACATTTTCTAAATGGTTTTTTTCGAAATGCTCGGAAACTGGTATGATCCCTTGAAATACGAGTATGTATATTAATAATATGATGTTCATGTACATATTTGCAGTAATATGATTGTTTTAAGTTTTGATGTTATCAAAGTTATAATAATTGCCGTCTCTATAAAAATAAAATATTTATTAGTTAATATACGAATATACCTCATATACCTAGATATTATTCAAACATTCCAAACTCGACCTATTATAATGTAACCAAATTGTATAAATATGGGGACACTCTGCCAAAATCGTCAGTCTTAATCAATCCTTCAAACCGTCAACACACTTCCAGCGAAGTTCATACCTAACCTAACCTGAAGACCACAGATATAGCTGCCAATTAATACGCAGCCAGACTCGACGCTCCCGAAACTGACCACCTTGGTGCCCAGCTCCAAGCGCTGGTGAGCTTCGACAAATTGTGTAATTAAGAGTAGTAATTTATCTACAATGTGCATATTCGTACGCATTTATTTTAGATGATTTTTAATGGGTATTTCATGAATAATTGTATTTGTGCAAGAGTGCGAATTATTCAATCACTGTTACTATTTAATTTTTGGTAAAAAAATTTTAACCACTTCCATATTATGTAAACTATAATAAAAATATTTACAGATGACGGTTGTCTGTTTATATAATATTATAATATATTATAATATCACGAAACATAGTAATACTATTATTGTAATATAGTGTAAATTGTTATGGTGTTGCAGGCGTGATCATTGTCAGCGGTAACCCACAGCAGACGGGCAAAGAAGTCGATCTGAACGCCAATTCTGTGAACCAATTCAATCATGGTGAGTGGAAATAAGTAAATAATACAACGCAAAATACCTGAATCATAACAATATGGTATACAGCACACGCCGCGCATTATACAGAAACGTTAATTAAGTTCTAAGGGCGACCGGAATAATAAATAACGCGGTGGGTGGGTGTGGGTGCATGGGTCCCGCACTCCCGCGGTTTTATTGTGCCCGGCCAACAGACGGTGTGTGGACCTGTGTGCTTCGCAGCCATAGGTAAACGCGTTTGTGCAGCAATTTCACGGTCAACCGCGCTTAGGTACTGTTTTTTTTTCTTACCCCATCCCACCACGCAAACGTAACGCATTGTTGTGTATTATACTATTATATTCGACGGAGAACGGACTTCAGTAATGTCACACTCATTGTTTTGCATCATTTGGGTACACTTATCTACAGGGTGATTCACTAAGCGTACAACAGTCATTATCTAAAAAGTATTAATGTTTTTGAAAATATTTTTTTACATAATTTCGAGTTGTTAAAAAAACAACGTTTTTATTAAAAAATTATATTTTAAAATATTTTTTATCCTTATAGTTTTTTTTAAGTTTTTTACTTTTTTGAATGACAGCGTAGAGTTTTAATTTCATTTTCCAAATCAGAATATTTTTTAAAGTATTTTGATACTAAAAATTCGAATTTAGGACGAGTAGTTTATGAGTTATATGTATTCAAAGTTTAGACGAGTGGATTATTTTGGGGTATCCCTGTACCGCTCATCTAAGTGTTAAATACTTATAATTATTCATAAAGAACCGATCCAAATTCGATTTTATTAAATCGAAGTACTTCAAAAATATTCTGCATTGCAATAAGGAATTAGAAATGTATATCTTCAAAAAGAAAAACTTAAAAACTAATAATGACAAAAATAGTGAAAAATATATCATTTTTTATCGTTACTGTTCTTTGTAATAACTTAAAATCATGTTTAAGAATATTTTCAAAAACGTAATTAGTTTTTGAACTGATAAGTGTTCTTTAATAAAAAGTATCCCCCGGAATACACAGAGTGATTACCAAGCATGCTCACCTCAATATTTCTGGATTATTTAAGTATAGCTACTTAAAGAATATATTTTCAATTAATTAGATTTTTATACCATTTATGAAGTCTCCTGTGGCGATACAAACTTTTTTTTATGATATCCCACCTTTTTTTCTGACAATTATTGAGCTTATGATTTTGCTGAAAAAGTTGTCGTACCTATCTAAATCATAAATATAGAATGAGAAGTTTCTGAGTGACTGAGTCATTAAAATGTATACAAAACATAGGTACTAAAGATTAAAGTCTTTAAAAATGGTTTACAAAAATATGTAGTAAATGTTGGATCTGTTATTTATTATGTTATGACAATTTTTACAAATTATAAAATATTAATAGAAAATTAATGCTATGTAAATCTTATATCTTTTTCAGTTTTGTAAAATAGTTGCATGTAACTCTCTGTCTCCACTACGAGCATCGCTTAAAGGTGGAAGATATTTTTTTGGTTACCTAATATTATCTATTGTAAACTTTAATTTTGATGTTACAAAAAATATATTTCTGAAAAAAAATATATCCTCAGTGCATAAAGCTTTAATTACTCAAAAACTACTCGTTAAAATAACATTTTCCAAAAAAATTCATCTATTTCATAATTTACAGTAAACTGGTTGATTCTCATTTGAAAAACATAAGTTTGTATCACCACTGCAGAGAAATTCTTGAATGGTGTAAGCAATTTTATTTAAGTATTTGAAAATATATTGCCCTTCAGTATAGATATTCGGTATAAAAATCAGAACTAATAAATGCATTATTAAATGAAAAAAATTAGGATAAACATGCATGGTGAATCATTCTGTATTGTACATATGTGTACGTTTACTGAGCGTATGTGCGTGTTGATTACGATGCGAGTATATAGAACAAGACTCTGCCAGAGTGAGAGAGAGAGAGAGGAGAGAGTGATGGACTAGGTAGAGTAGTGTGAGGGTGAGTAGAAGAACCGAACTTAAAACACGATAAATCTAGTGGCGCGTTGGACACGGGTGGCGCCGCCGCCACCGCCACTGCCGTCGTCGTCGTCGTCGACGGTGCGAAAAGGGGTAGCGGGGACTCGTATTTTATACCTGTGCGCTGCGGGGAGGGGGCGCGCGAGTCCCTCAAGACTTAAGTCGATCCTTCCGTTTCCGACCCTCGAGCCCAATGAATATCTTCGCGTTCGGCCACCATAACTACCTCTCAGAGATAACGGTTTAATTAAGTAATAATTTAACACGTAGCGCGGCCCGCCAACCGACCGAGTGTTGTGTACACGTATATTATATACCTACACACATACACCGCTAGAGAAAGCGCAACATTTATACGGTCTGTGCACAATGGTTTCTGATGCCGGTGATGCTGTTCGGGGGTTCTCGACAATGTACCGGTGGTGGTGGTGGTGGCGTCACGTACCCAATGGCGTAGATTACGACTAGCGATTCCGCCACGCGAGCAGATTGAGTGGCGGTCGCGGTGCTTGAAAGGGGTAGTTGCACCTCCACCAAGGGTAGTTGAGTTGGTGGTACGCATATTATTCGCATTACATGTAGCTGCAGTAGGTACGAGTGTTTCACTCGGTGGTGCTGCTGCATCGCCCGAAAGAGGATGTCACGAAAATATTATACCCATTAATATTATTATACTGTCTGGTTGAATACGAAACGGGTTGGTCACTATATTTGTAATATCTAAATAAACAAAACCCTCATATTTTTAAAAATCATATATTTTTCTTTAATATCCACTCTGCTGCAGTTATAATTAAGTTTCAAGTCTCCAGAAAAATAACACTTTCAAAATTATAGCAAAAACTAAAATGGATTTTACCGAAACGGGAGTGTCATCAACCGGGGAATCGTTTTTTCAGAGGTTTTATTATATGAGAATCCGTAAAAATCAAAAACAACACACTACCCGAAATGATCATCACATCATCGTTTTGCTCAGAATACCAAATAATTGATTTCTTTTAATTCTTAACAGTTTTTTTTTTTTGGGGCTCGTATGCTTTTCGTGCAGATCGTATTGTTACGACATTCGTTGACTTCAAAAACCCTCTCTACCGCTCTACTCTGTAAACTTTCGACGAAAGACGATGCAGTCAGAAGTTGAAAATAAAATTAATACGTGTAAAGTCGAACGTGTGATTTTTTGTAGTCGACAAACCTTAGATGTTGTGGTTTAGTCAGCGTCTCTTGATAAATCGAGTAAAACATATAGCTGTATCAAAAACACGCATACAAGCTCGGTGACATATAGATGATAACGTTTAAGAGCCGTTTTTTACTCCACTGGGATAGTGGTGCAGTTCATTAAAAAGTTTCGTCGCAGTTCAAAAAATAGTCTATCCTGCAGGGCTTGAAAACGAAAAAAATTTTTTTGATTTTAATTTTAATTTTGATTATCAATATTAGTTTTTTTTGATTTCGATTGTGGCTTCAAATATCGATATTTATTTTTTTCAATTTCGTTTTTGGTTTCGAATATCGATATTAATTTTTTTCAATTTCGATTTCAAAATTGGTATTTATTTTTTTTCGATTTCGGGTTAAAAACAGAATGTTATCCATTACTCATAATAATTTCCCAAATTTTAGTAAATCATCAGCATAATAGTGTTGTAGCTACAAGCTACTGATGTAGGTAATACATAAATATATATTTAAATTAAAATTAATTTTTTTATTACCTATAATGTTATAAAACGTTTCATACACACTAAAATTGTTATAATATTAGTGTCTCAAAAATGAAAAAACATACGAAAGTGAACTAAAAAGAAATAAACTAGGGATACATCTATGAACAAAATGATTAAAATATAAAATATAGTTTTTTATTCATAGATCAGACTTCATTTAACTAAACATGAAGAGAACAATGTTTTAAACTATAAGTTCATAGGTAATACATAAAACATAAGAAAAACTCATAAGTTCAATATCAACTATTGATATTTATATTTTATATAAATGATATTATTTTATAATTTATAACAACTAAATAATCATGAAACTATGAAAGTATGGAACCACTTGACTCAACCACTTGACACTATATATAATTATATAATCTCCTCACGAAGACTAGAATATATTGTATTTGAATAATTTAATAAATGTCTGTTGAATAGGATACAATTAAAAAGGGTACCAGGAACAAGGTATAATATAAGTGTTACGCAATAATTTAATAATAACTCCTGAGTATACTTTATTTATTAAACTTTGTATTTGAGCGTACAATCATTATAGCATCTAATAAATTAGCTGATAATGATGTACGTAAATCAGATAAAATAAACTTAATACTAGAGATGTTCTGAGTAGAAAATCTGGTATAAAGCCGGGTACCGAGTACTGGCCGAGTAAAATTTATAGCACTAACCGGGTATCGAGTATTGGCCGAGTAAAAATTTTAACACTAACCGGGTATCGAGTATAGGCCGAGTAGAACTATAAATACAAAATTTGTATTATAGTACTATCAAAATATCAAGTATCAAATTTATAAACATTAGATTTATTTTTGTAATTTGTAGATGTAAAACATGATTTGCTTATAATTATCTGGCTATTGTAATTCGGTTCAGTTATTTCAATATGTACCAAAATAAATTATAATTTATCACCTTACAATTTTAGATTTTTCCTATTTTATTAATTATAGGTATGCATATATTTATAAATAGATTATCAGAGTTTGCCATTGGATATGAGTCGAGTAAAAATGAAGATATTACGCCGGTACCGAGTAATGGCCGGGTAAAAATGTAGGTATTACGCCGGGTACCGAGTAAGAGTCGAGTCTTAAAATATGATATCGAGTACCCGGCCATCGAGTAATTGCCGGGTACCCGGAACATCTCTACTTAATACCACTGAAACTTCGTTCAACACTAACCTGAAAAATGAAAATAAAATAAAAAAATTTCACATGAATATACAACGTGTTATAAATATAGGTACCTGAGTAGCAGGTACTGCAAGAACAATTGTTGCTAGCTTATAAAGTTCAAAATTGTCGTGTTTTTGGGTCTCCCAAAATGTCAATATATTTGTTTTGTAATGTAGGCGATTAACATCTTTAAAATTACACAGCTTAACAGATATATCATCTAAGATACCTGTGCCACTATGATGACTTGAAGCAGATGATTGAGATGATAAAAATAATTCAAATACATCCTGGTCATCAGTAGTTTCAGTAGTGTTATTAGGAGAATCAACATTAGTACTGGCTGAAAAAAAAATATTATTTATATTTACTGCAATTAGTTAAAATTGTTTATCAATCGGTGTTAACCTATAGCTGAGTTATTGACATCACCAGTTTCACATATATCATCTTGTATTTGAATCATAAACTTCCAAGTTTTAACTAAATGATTAATTCCGGTGTTTTTGTCAGCTTCGTTTAACATGCATTGATAACGTGGATCAAGGAAAATTGCTAAAGTAAAAGTATCAAATATTATTAAATGCAAAATACACCGATTATCAAAAGTTTATGTACTTCTATACTTTTTTTGGTTAATCTATGTACAAATTGGATTATCAATGGTCAATGTGTACACTTTTTACAGGACTCTTGTGTATACACAATAAAATATTTTTCTCACAAAAAAATATAGAAGTACATAAACTTTTTTAAGCTTTTGTTGAGAATAAATTATATTATAGTCTTCAGCAGCACCAAGTTATCAGTCTTATCTTATGTTTTAACTGTAGGATATAAAGTATTGCATATGGTTATGACAGTTATTATATTTCATTGAACAAACCTGCCAAAAAAACAGGGTTTTTTAATAAAAGCACTTCACGCTGTTTCATTGATTTCAAAATTTGCTTAGCTAAAATTGAACCATTGGACTGGAGACCGTGGGATGCTTTAAGCCATACCCCATAGAAGTCACCGAGGTTTATGTCCTGCTTTTGAAGAGCTAAAGTAGCTATTTTGACAGGCTCTAATGCATCAACCTAAAAACCATTATTTTAGTATATATTATATTCAAAATTAAAAACTTAACTATAATTAACTGTATAATAATATTTTTAATGACTTTTTTAAAATAAATATAAGAAAATACAAAATGTAAAAGTCAAACATTTAGATAAAAAAGTGTAGGTACCTTATAATATTTAAAAAAAAAAAAACCATGGCATAATAAATTCATACCTAGATTTTTTTTCATTTTTTGTCACATATTATACTTATAAATATATGCTAACAATATATAGTATCATAATAATTGTAGAAAAAATAATATTCCTAGTATTCACATGTCTGAATAAAAATTAAGTGAAAATTATATTTAAAATAACAATATCAGACTACATTTAAATTTTGCTTTCATTTATTTCTATTTTCAAAGATTGTATATAGTATAATATATAATATACCTACTTAATAAATGGACAATACTCATATAATGATTAGACATTCTTTTTTTTATAAGTTTTATCAATACTAAAACCAGAATTATAAGTAAAATAGTGTTGCTTATTGTTATATTAGCGTTACTTATTTTATTAAAAATAAAACTTACAATACTTTTAATGGAATCCCATTCACTTTTTTTTAATTTGAGTTCAGTATTTGTATTATGGTGGGTTTGGCAAAATTCTTTCAACTCTAATAATCTAAATAACATATTGTAGACCGAGTTCCATCTTGTTTCGTTATCAATTATAGCATATTTGAGGTTTTTTCTTTTTAGCCAAGTGGCATACTTGGGAGTTCTCAGTTTTTTCACCACCTGGTTTTGTAAGATAGTTAAATTATGAACATAAAATAATAGATACTTTATTATATTAAGCTTTTAAAATTTTACCTTTCTTGCTTGAACTATGCAACTGGTGATTGGTGCGTTTTTAAACCCATCTAGAATACATAGTTGCAAAGTATGCACGGCACATCGCACACATGACGTTATAGATGAAGCTGATATGGCGTCAAACACATCATCTTCAAAAGATTGAATCGCTATGGTCGCTTCATCTATGTTAATTTTAAAACATGCATTTTATTTATTTATGGAAGATACCCAGTCATTTCACCAAAATTTGTTTTACGGTTTATTGATATTGAGTGTTAAGTGTGTAATATGATAGCTACCTACTCTGTTTAAAGTGAACTTTTTAATTGACCTATAGGTATACACATTTTTTACATTTAAGCTATAAACATCATTCGCTTAAATTAAACTATTAAAAAAGGCCTTGTTTATTAAGTCTTAAGAATACAAATACAAGTACATTTTTTTTACTTTTAAAAATATATTAAGTTTTGTTTTTCATGAAAATATTTAGACCACACTTTTAATTTATTTAGTGTAAGTAATTTATTTAACTTTCAAATATTTAAAAAAAAAAGTATTATCCACGCAAATTATGTTAAATATTTAAAGTTATGGTATAACCATATAATATTAAGATGATGTCAGCGCACTATTTGTTTTCTCTCTCTGGCCCACGCGCAATATAAACAAAACGCATTTACGCAGAATCATTTTTTCTATGGTTCTAACTTTCTAAGTAATCTTAGATTAAAAACACTTATTACAAAAAAGATAGAGAATAATATTTTTGAG